TATTTGGAGCCAAGTGGCGTGCAAAGATCATGGTTGGAGGCCGCCTCCACCAGTCCCTCCCCGTTCGGCCTCAGATGCCGATGTTGCTTCGAATACTACGGCGAGGCCAAGGACAGCATGGGTTCGCCCTACATAACAGGGGTGAAGGGCAGAATGAAGCATCTGGGCTGCATGTCAAGGCAATTTTGCTTGTTTCTGTCCCGTGTAACTTCTGCCGCTGCCACTGAAGCTTGCAACGGCAAGTCCATTCTCAGGCCCGGTGCAAAGAAGGCGACTCTGCAGGTCTGCGACCTGCTTGATCATTCCAGCTCGCCACAGCATCTCGCAGCTGTCGCGAGCCGAGGCAGCGAGCCCACAGAGAAGCATGGCAATGGGCACGTGGACGGCAAGAGCGACACCACACCCACCATCGCACAGCTTCTGCTCTCACAGGAAATTCTGAGCAACCCGCTCAGTGCTCAAGGAGCCGAGTACACAAGAAGGAATTTGCTTGGAAGCCGTTCGGACCGAGAGAACTTTCCGTTCGCGAGATCGGAAGCCGGCCAACACTTCAAGAATGTGCAGGCCATGGCGGCTGTGCTATTCGAGGAGGATAGAGAGTCTTTCAAGCGTCCAGGCTTTAGATGCCTGTCGGTGGCGGAAGACGTCTGCGGAAGCCTGAAGATCATCAGGTTTCGTGGGGTGACGACCGACTTCGGCGTCCGGACCCGCTTGCTGGACGTCGCCGAGTCAACTTCGAAGATCGCACTGCACAAGAAGGAGCAGTTGGAAGCTTCAATCTGGGAGTTTTGTGACCGCAGCCCTGAGCTGGTGGACACCTTCAAGAAGTCCGTTCAGGCGGGCCACCGTCACAGGTTGCGGCCCCCAAACTTAAGCACTTTCCCTTGGTTTTAAGGGTCGGCGTGCTCGACGGAAGAGTGGATTCTGAAGGGCCATGAGTCAGTTGGTGTTGAAGTTGTTGAAACAGACTTTGCAAGCAACGTAGGGCCTGCGTGGACGACAAAGCTTCAGGGTGCCAGGATCGGGGGCATGCGGGTTGGGTGGGATTCGCAGAAGCCTTGGCAGGGATGGTGTACAGACGGCGAGCCAGCAGAATTGCTGGCTGGAACTGTCTGCAAATCCACCCTTTTTCCAGCATTGCGTACAATTTTTCGGTGCAACTTACATTCCGCCCAGCGGACCATGGAGATGTCGCTTCGGAGCGACAGCAGAATCGACAAGTTGTTGACGGCTGTGGTCACCAAGTTCTCCTCTGATTCTGGCACCGGCCCCTCTGACCTTGTTATTTTACACTGCGCTGCCAGTCCCGAGTGCGAGTGGTCATCATTCGATGAACAGTCATGCAGCTAAGGCTACGGCTCCCTCGCCAGAGGCCTCGGCAATAGCCCAAAGCTCAGGGGCCACTTCAAGGCTACTGAGCTGAAAGAGCTGGACGAAATCGCCGAGATCAAGCCGCTATGCGAAATTACTTCCCCAGACGAATCCCAACCCGGTCCACCCAGAGAATCCACTAAGGAACAGTGGCACTAAGACTAGAGACCTTCATTCCGAGTCCACAGTAATTGATCTGAGACCATGAACAGCCAGGAACGAAGTGTCAAGTGGCCAATTCCAGGGAGAATGTCTGATCTAAGGCAGTGCTCAAAGTCGTTGCACTGGGCACAGCACAGATTCGACACGGTCACTGCCGTGCTTCGCATCGCAGTTCTTCGTATTTCGACCATCCTGCAGTTCTTGATTGAAGTCCGCTCCATGGATGGCACGGCCGCCCCGTGGGCGGCGGACTTGCTTGACAACGTTGCCTGGCACATGTCACTTCATCGGACTTTGCATTGAGATGATGATATACACTAACCTAACGAGGCATGTTTCCACTGTCCTAGGTCTTTACGACGGAGAACTTGATTCTGATCTCGTTGATAGCAGAATGGTCCAGCACAGTCAGCGGCTATGTCCATCACTGGGACAACCAGGGGTGCGACAAATCAGGGAACCCCAACAGAAGCCCGATCGGGCACTTGGCATTCGTTTGTCGGTCCATGGGCACACTGAGGAAGGCAGGGCATCAGTCATGTCTATCCGCCATGTTACTTCAGGGTTACATGTGCCGCATGCCAGGACCTCGGCCGTCTGTTTGAATTTGACATCAAGAAGAACAAGCCGCCTCTGGTCATGGACCAGCGATTTACCAAGGGCTTCGTCCAGATTCTTCGTGGATGTCTTACAGGCGGACTCTTGCACTCAGGGCTGTTAGCTTCAAGTCATAGCACTCCCCAGGAGGCCGCCTTGCTGCATGCACGTCGCTTGGCGCCGGCGGAAAGGTGCTGTACCGAGGCCGAGGCCAGATCATCTTGGATTTATTCATCTTGCGGTTCGGGCCTTTGGCCTTAGAACATTAGTCGTGCTCCCAGGTCTCTCCGACGATGAGTTCCAGACGGCACTGCTGAAGGAGATGGGCTCCATCAAGAACGTCTCCCGCCTGTACTTGCAGGAGCTTGCGACGGAGCACGAAGTGGGCTTGGGGCAGGGCTTCGGGGCGTTCGACATGGAGTCGTCGATTCTCCCGAAGCCCGAGACACTGGACGTGCTCGCGAAGCTCTTCGGCCACACGGCGGGGTGCTTTGAAATTGCATGTTCAGTGCTCGTAGTAGTAAAGCTTTGGTGCTGCAGGGCGATCT